GAGGGAGTGGAATTAATGTCAAATTCATCAAAACCAGAACAACTAAATGGGGTTCTCTCCTGTGTGACTTACCATGTGTCTCTTCAGACTTCCATTTAGAGTGAAAGTTTTACTACATTCTGAGCAGCTGAAAGGTTTCTCTCCTGTGTGACATCTCATGTGTGTCTTCAGATTTCCATTTTCAGTGAAACTTTTCCCACATTCTGAGCAGCTGAAAGGTTTCTCTCCTGTGTGAGTTAGCATGTGTCTCTCTAAATGTCCACTCACTGAATAAGATTTATTACAGACTGAGCAGCTGAAAGGTTTCTCTCCTGTGTGGAATCTCATGTGTGTCTTCAGACTTCCATTTTGAGTGAAACTTTTACCACATTCTGAGCAGCTGAAAGGTTTCTCTTCTGTGTGGAATCTCATGTGTTTCTTCAGACTTCCATTTTCAGTGAAACTTTTACCACATTCTGCGCAGCTGAAAGGTTTCTCTCCTGTGTGGAATCTCATGTGTTTCTTCAGATTTCCATTTAGAGTGAAACTTTTACCACATTCTGAGCAGCTAAATAGTTTCTCACCAGCACTACATCTTGAATCACTGACAGGAACTTCATTATTCACAGAGTTTAAACCCGACTGAGGTTTTCTGGTCTCCTTCCAATCTCCACTGTCATCAGTGTCAGAAGAGTCTCCAGTCTTCTCATTAGTATCTGGTTCTGGATGTCTATCAGTATCTGAGTTCCTGTCTGGTTCTGGTCCTCCACAGTCCTCTCCATCAGCTTCTGTTTCCATCTGTTCAGTTTGTCTTTGATGAAGCTGTGAGGACTGAGCTTCCTCTTCATCATCTTCACTCTTCACAGGAGTGAATGTGAACTTGATATCAGCCTCCTCCAGAACTTGAAGCTGCTCTCCCTCCTGACTGGTCCAGAGTTCCTCCTGTTCCTCTTTAATGTGTGGGGGCTCTGGGTCCTCTTCAACGTGTGGGGGCTCTGGGTCCTCCTGGTCCAGACTGGAGCTCCACTCCTGCTGCTCTACTTTAACCACCAACAGCTGCTGGATGTCTGTGGAAAATAATGAATTACATACACACCTTAGAAAACTGTAATTTCATGTTAACAACTAATCCACTGATTTCACTACTTTCCTATAATGTGGGGAGACATGTTGCACATTTTGTAGAACATATTCAGACCTCATTCAAACTAAAACAAACTAAAAACTGACATGTTACACTTACGGTAATTGAGTCACATGGTGTTGGGGATAGCAATGGGGATATATGCTGTTCCGTGGTTTAGTTTGATGAATAGAAGGACAGGGGGTGAGAGAAGGAGTCTTCTTTTTTGCTGACCGCTAACATCGCTATTATCACTATTATCATTGTTGATCGCCGTCTATTACCTTTGTACACCAATGAGAAAGTATTTTGAACGTTTTTGTCTCCCCCGGCTGTAAGACCTGTATGACTCCTCTTCAGCCTGAAGACGGTCATGACCTTTGCCCCTCATGTCTTGGCCTCGAGCATCTGATGGAGAGCCTCTTGGAGAACCTGTGCATTAACTGCAGCATCATGCCTCCCGGGTAAGGTCTACTAGGCTGGCCGAGGTCGATCCTACCAGGTGACATTGAGGGGGGCCGTGTCGGAACCACACATGCTGACTACGGGGTTCCACAAGGTTCAGTCCTAGGCCCCCTTCTCTTATCGCTCTACACAACATCTCTGGGTTCTGTTATTCGCTCGCATGACTTCTCTTACCATTGTTATGCCGATGACACCCAGCTGGTCTTGTCATTTCCCCCAGGTGACACCCAAGTGGAGGCACGCATCGCTGCGTGCTTCGCTGACATCTCGTAGTGGATGACGACACACCACCTCAAGCTCAACCTGGACAAAACCGAGCTAAAGTTCCTCCAGGTGAAGGGTTGCCCGCACCGAGACCTGTCCATCATCATTGACGATACCATGGTCACTCCAACTCAGACTGCGAGGAAACTGGGTGTGACCCTGGATGACCAACTGTCATTCTCAGCAAACATTGCATCGGTTACACGCTCCTGCAGATTCCTGCTCTACAACATCAGGAGGATTCGCCCCTTCCTCACTGACGAAACGGCGCAGGTGCTCATCCAGGCTCTTGTCATCTCCCACCTGGACTACTGCAACTCTCTACTTGCCGGAGCCCCGGCGTCGGCTATCAGACCTCTGGAGCTTGTCCAGAAAGCTGCAGCTCGCCTGGTGTTCAATCGCCCCAAGTTCTCCCAAACAACTTCCCTTCTCCGTTCTCTACACTGGCTACCTGTAAGAGCTCGCATCCAGTTTAAGACTGTGGTGCTAGCCTACAGGGCAGTGAAAGGAACAGCTCCTTCCTATCTCCAGGCCATGGTCAAGCCCTACACCCCCGCCAGACCACTTCGCTCTGCTGCTTTGGGGCAATTAGTTGCCCCGTCGCTCAGAGGTCCCTGCGCCCGATCGACCCGGTCACGGCTTTGTTGCACTTATTGTTTTTGTTTGTTTCTGCACTGTACTTTGGCTCTGGTTTATGCTCTTAGATGCTGTTTTAAAAAAAAGAGATGTAGCCTACTTATGACTTCTGGTGACTAGTAGTTCTCTTGAATACCTATGTTGAATACACTTATTGTAAGTCGCTTTGGATAAAAGCGTCTACTAAATGTCTGTAATGTAATGTGAGGTTCACCTCCCCCTGTCAGGGCAGTAGAATCCAGCCCATCCTACACATTTCAAAGCAGCGTGAAAAAACGTACATCGAATCGTAGCGCTAGTTAAAGGTAGGCAGCTGTTTGTTTGTAGCTCTGAA